CCTCCAGGGCCACCCAAATTTTGTATAATATTTCATGTGTTCTTTGTTTTCATTGCAAGGTATTATTCCACTGTGTGAATATACCACAGCTTCTCTATCCATTTGTTGATGGGCACTTAGGTTGTTTCCAACTCTTTGCTATTGTGAACAAAGCTGCAATAAACATGGGTGTGCATATATTTGCTTGGGTGGTGGTTATGATATCTTTGGGGTATATTCCAAGTAGTGTAATTGCTGGGTCAAATGACATTTCTATTTGCAACTTTTTGAGAAAGCACCATAGCCTTCCGTAGTGGTTGCACCATTTTACACTCCCACCAACAGTGAATAAGTGTTCCAGTTTCTCCACAACCTCACCAGTATTTGTTGCTTGCTGTTATGTTAAATTTTGCAATTCTTACTGGGGAGAGATGAAATCTCATAGCTGTTTTGATTTGCATCTCTCTTAGCACTAGGGATTTTGAACATTTCTTCATGTGTTTGCCATCTGAATGTCTTCTTTGGTGCAGTGTCTGTTCCTGTGCCCATTTTTCGATTGGCTTGTTTACCTTTATTTTCTTGTGGTGGCACAAGACCTTCTAAAAATTAAATCTCTATGTACATCAAAAACTTTTTCCAACAGAGGGAAAAGAAAACCTACAGACTGGCAACAAACATTTGGTAATACCATCTCAGACAAGAATCTTATAACAAAAGTTTACAGAATACTGCTTCGCCTCCACAAGAAAAAGACTGGTAACCCAATTACAAAATGGACAAAAGACATGGAAAGACTTTTCACAGAGGAAGATACTCAAATGGTAAACAGACACATGAAGAAATGCTCCAAATCACTAGCAATAAGAGAGATACAAATCAAAACCACAATGAGGTACCATTTCACTCCAGTAACAGTGGCAAAGTTTAACAGGGCAGCAAGTAATAGATACTGGAGAGGATGTGGTGAGAAAGGAACTCTTATATGTTGTTGGTGGGATTGTAAAATGTTGCAACCATTCTGGAAGGCAGTTTGGCACTTCCTCAAAAAGCTGAACATAGAAATTCCGTATGACCCAGCTATTCTACTACTTGGAATATACCCTGAGAATATGAGAACTGAGGCACAAACTGAGATTTGTACACCAATGTTCATAGCAGCATTATTCGCCATTGCAACAACATGGAAACAGCTCAAATGTCCAACCACAAACAAATGGATTGAGAAATTATGTACATTCACACAATGGAATACTATGCAGCACACAGGAGAAATAACTTTGTAAATTATTATCTAACTTGGGGAGGGACTGGAGAGCATTATGCTGAGTGAACTAACTCAGTCCCACAAGGATAAATATTGTATAAAACCATTATTGTAGAATGAGTATAAGTATCTGGGAGGGTTGGGAAAGACTAGAAACAGAGGGCTGAGGATGTGCATGGGGAAGCAGGGATTAGTCATTGGTTTTACAATTTGATGGGGAAGTGTGAGGAAAATTGAAAGAATTTGTTCAAATTTGTATTTCAGTTTTGTAAATAAACTAGTAGAAAAAAGAAAGACTTGTCATTCTTCATGAAACAATAGCACTTGAGGTAAAAACATCTTAAATGATTTCTTTAATGCTGTGGAGTTGTATTTCTAGAATTGTCTGTGTATTCAGATTTGTGATTGTTGCTGTTGTATATTGTCAACTCAGAACTGACCCATAGCTTACCCTCTCACAGGTTTTCAGAGACAGTAAATTGCACTTGAGGAAATGGTCCAACCTTCTCCCGTGGAGCATCTGGTGGATGCAAACCACTTGAGTTTGGAATTGTAGTAGAGTTTCTTACCACTAGGCCACAAGTGTTAATTAAAAGTGATGCACCAGTTATGGCAACAGTACTCTACCTGAAGGTTTTAATTCTCTAATTTTTATGCACATATCTAGATTTATCTTGAATGGCTCTTAGGTACATTTTAATGTTCTTAAACTAAACCTATAGAAATTTTATTAAATATATATATTCACCAAATATATTCCATCATGGTGATGATTTAATTTTTGTAAAGTTATGAGACTCCCTTTACTAACTGTTAAGTCTTTGAATATTGAATCCTCACCCTTTGGCCCCTCTGTCTCAGAGGAAGTGCAACTGGGATGCTCCTTTGAGGCAGGGATGGTGAAACTTCTTCTCACAATGCTTTGGACATGTCAGGAGAGGTCAGATTTTGGAAAATGACATCATGCTAGGAAAGGTGTCAAGTCAGAAAAAGAGAGGAGGACCCTCAACAAGATGAATGAACATAGTGACTGAGGATCTAAATTTAATCTAGGAGACTTATTTACATAATATCTATGTAAATCATGGTCCCTCCTTGCAAAATACCCAAAGTATGTCAGATGAAGCTTCAGAATGCTTGCCTCCAAGGAGCAGCCTGGTTTCACCCCCTCTAGGACAAACTTGCTTATTTTCCTAGCAGTCTATGGTATATTCAGTACTCTTCTCCAGCACCAGAGCTCAAAGGCATCAATTCTCCTTCTGTCATTCCTAGTCACTGTCCAGCTTTCTGATGCATAGCAAGTAATTGCAAAGACTATTGCTTGGATTAGGTGTACCTCAGTCTTTGGACTGACATTGTTGCTCTTCAGTACTTTGGGGAGGTCTCTGACCACAGGCTTTTCCAGTGCAATTCGTCTTTTGATTACCTGGTTGCTGGTACCAAGAGTGTTGATAATGGAGGCAAGCAAACTGAAACTGAAATGGGTTGATTCAGTGACTGGGGCAGTGGGTGTAGGTGTGTCAGAGACAATATGTTTGGCACAGGATAGAGCTGGGTTCAGGAACTGTAGTGCATAGGGTCACTATGAGTCATAAGCCACTCGACAGCACATAACAACAACAATAACGTGTGAGTCATGGAAGTTAAATAGAAGCTGGGTTATAGGAAGAGTCTTTATGAGGTATACCTAGTTAAAGTGAGTAGCTGCTAACTGGAGAGCTGGGCCTTTGTGTGCACACAGAGGTTCCTCAAAAAAAGGGCTGATGATCTTCTAGAGGGAGTAGATGACAGCTTCTACAGAGCAGAGCTTCACTCTGACATACATGGTGTTGCAATGCCTCAGCGTCAACTTGAGACAACTCTTGGTTCAGTTTTACGTTTTGGGGTTACTTTTTTATTTTTTTTTTAAAGAGAGTGTCTGAATATCTCATTTTAGTGAAGCTTGATTACTCAAGTATTAAAATATGGTGAGTTTGATTTAAATAGGAAGATTTTCAAGTGAAAAAAAATGATTAGTTATGAAAATTATGCTGGAAAATAGAGAAAAATATTAATACACAATTCACTTCTTTACTATTCGTATTCATTTGTAACTGAGTCATAGAGTAGTTTTCAAAGAAAGTTTTAACTTAGTAAAATGTGGGTCCTGGTGGGCTAGAGGGTAGGGAGTTGCAGTGCCAGCCCAAAGGTACACAGTTTGAATCCACCATCAACTCCACTGGAGAAAGTGGGTAGTCTCCTGTTATGAGATGTACAATCTCTGAAATCCCACTGAAGGGCCAACTACAGGCTGGTTCCAACTTGATGCCAGTAAGTAATTAATGATAAGTTCAGTGCCCAAACTGTAGGTACAAAACAAAAATACTTACTAATTTTATTTATCTCAATTATAAACTACCTTCAGAAATGTATTTTATACTATGCATCTGTTAATTTATTGGGGAGAGGGGAAACTAAAACTCCAACCTATATAACAGATGTATTTTATACTATGCATATTGCGGAGTGGGGAAGCTAAAACTCCAGCCTATATAACAGATCCACACATGGACATATTCAGACAATTCCAAGAAAAGTTTTTGGTGCAAGTATCTGATTAACCTTTGAATCACAGATTTAGTATCTAGATAGTTTTTTTTTTAGTTAAGTACTATTTATCATCGAATAATAAAATTCTCTGACAAGTGATAAACTTCATGATGGCAGAGACTTTTCTAAACTCTTATTATTGCATCAATGCCTCAGCAATCAATATGTATCATGACTATCCTCCATTTTAATCACAGTGCTTTATGTTCATTAAAAAGCTACCATTTACAGTATGGATTGTCAGAATGAAAATGAAAGTTGAAATGCCTTGAGCTTAATTGAACAACACTATCCTTGAACTATTTTCACCTGCAGTGTCATTTTCCCCTGCTGTGTGTTTTTTTCTGAACACATGCATGAGGAAGAAAAGTGGGGTGGACAGTCAATCCTCTGAGAGGTGGAGATGAGTGTCCCAGGAATGATTTGTTTGTGTTTTTTTTGCTTAGCTGATAACCTGCAAGCTGGTAATTTGAACCCACCATGGTTCCTCTGGAGAATGGTCTTGATCGTGTGTTCTGTAAAGGGACTTGATCGTGTGTTTTGTAAAGGGCCATGTGTTTTGTCACATAGATTCACTTTGAGATGAAATTTATTTGGTCACACACAGTGACAATAGAGACCAAATAAACCAATTGGTAACAATTAGTAACTTTAAGCTACTGTCATCCAAAAACTCATAATATTTCCTTCATATTTTGACTCCAGTCCACTATCATTAGCTCAATTCCAACTCAATTACAGTGAACCTCCACAGGTTTTCCATGGAAGCTATCACCCTTTACGAAGACCAAGAAGCTGCTGGTGGATTTGAACCAGCAATGGCTCAATTTTCAGTTAATATCAGAAAACATAATACAAAGGCAGGCAGGAACACCAGAGCTTTGCTGTTGTGTTGTTTTAATATCACAAAAGATTATAAATTTATTTTTGTGGGTTTTTAAATTTTATAGTATTATAGATTATGGTTTTGTGAACGTATACAGGGGCTATTAGTTTTCCACTTAATAATGTATGCATATATGTTATTTTCTTTTCATGACATTAATTACAGTCTCTACAGTAAAACAGAATTTTCCCACTTCCACCGTGTGTTTGCCATTTCCTATCCTTTATTTGCCTTGTATGTGTATGATGTTTCATTTAATATAACTATTTTTCTTTCTTCTAGAGATCAACATGTATGGGCCAGAGATATTATCATCTGGGAAGTACATTGTTTGTCTAGAAATTACTAATTAATTTTAAAATCATGTTAGAATTTTCTTCTCTCCTAATATTAATCTATTTTTTCCTCTTGTACTTCTGAACACCATTAGGTAATAAATAGAACTTGTTTGCAATTTCTGAAGTCTCATTTAGTCTAACAAAATAATATAAATATTTTAACATTTCTGCAAAATTAAATTTTTCTAGCACTCCTAACAAATGTTTATGAAGCTTTGTCATCTTCCATTCATTCTGCTTATGAAGGAATAGTAAGGTTATCATTAGAACATTTTCTGTTCTCTATTCATATTTGGTACTATAACTCAAATGATAAAATTTATTTACATAGTTAAAATGTATGAGTATACACAAATGTAATATTTTTTTAATACAGGCAGAGCTATAATCTAGAAGATAAAGAACTTACATATCATTGTTTCATTTTCATTGATTTTAAAGATGACATAGCTTCTAATGCACCCACTACTGTTATTGAACGCAAGGGATTCTTTCCATAGTCAATTGCCAATAAGACAAGTGAATTGCAATATTTATAAGCATCTTATTACAGATCTGGGAGGACAGTGAGGTTCCTTTCAAAAAACTGCCTCCTTATCTGGGAGTGGTTTTTTTGTTAGTTAAAGTTACAGAATTTCTACTTTGGAAAAGAACAGTTCATATACAGTTACTAATAAACAGGGAGCTTTATAAAATAGTTAACATATGACTGAGAAAAAAGAGGTTTGAAAAGGTAAATGCTAATCCAGGAAAGGTGTATTTCCCTTCCTGGTAAACAGGCAGTTTAAGATACAATTTATATATGCCTGGGGGAAAAAATGGTTTCAAAAAGTAAATGCTAATCTAGGAAAGATGCATTTCCTCTCCTAGTAAACAGACAGCTTAAACTACTTTACATAACTAAAGAAATGGAAAAAAGAATTATAAGGCAAAGTAGCTAGCTGTGCAGGCTGGAGAAAACTGACATCAGTTTTAAAACTGTATAACTATAGTTTTATAACTGACAATATATTTAGAGAATTCTCAACTTACTAATGCCACCCCATCACTACTTGGAAAATAGAGTTTCTTTAGTAAAGAAATGATACAGCATTTGAGACTACCACATATTTAGCCTTCATCTATCCTAATGGTGTGAATTTTTCCATGAGAACTCCTAGGGTGCTTTGGAGTTGGAATTCCAAATGCAGAAGAGCTTTAGTGGAAGAGTATATTTGAAGCTGGTTTGGTGTGTGATTATGTATTTATATGTCTGCTTGTTTGTGCATGTCCTTCTTCCTCAGGTGGAGCATCCACAGCGATCTAAAAAGGCCGTATGGCACAAACTACTCTCAAAGCAGAGGAAAAGGGCAGTGGTGGCCTGCTTCCGAATGGCGCCCCTGTACAATCTGCCACGGTAAGAAGGCCTCTTCACGTTTACAGTGCTGTTGTTGTTAGGTGTTGTTTGGCAGACACCTATGCACAGTAACGCTGGAGAGCAGGGTAAGACTGTTTTCACAATCATTGCTATGCTGGTGGCCATTAATGTAGTTAATTACTGTGTAATTACAGACCATCATGTAAGGTCTTCCAGGTTCCAGCATTCACAGGGTCACTGTGAGTCATAGCGGACCTGATGGCATGTAACAACATCTCCTTTACTAGTCTTTTACATTTCCCAGTATGATGTCTGTTTTCCAGGATTGGCACCTCCTGACAAATGCCAGTAATACATGAGATGAAGTCTCAACATCCTTGTCTCTAAGGAGCACTCAGGTTGCACTCTTCCAACAGAGATGTATGTGTTATTTTGGCAGTCCATGGAATATTCAATATTCTTTACCAATATACAATTCAAAGGAATCTGTTCTTTGGTCTTCCTTATTCATTGTCCAACTTTCAGAGGCATATGAGGCAGTAAAAAATGCCATGACATACTAGTTTTTAAATTGCCATCTTTGCTCTGTGGCACTTTGTAAAGGTCCTTAATAGCAGAATTATCCAGTTGAAAATGTTGTTGGATTTCTGGCATTTTCTCAACAATGAAGTCGTAGGTGCTACCTTGAAGAGCTGTTTGGATTATTTAATTGGTCCATGTGCACAGATGGGTTAGAACTGTGCTTCATGCAATCATTTCTAGATCTTCGTATTTTCTGGGTGAGGAGGGGGCAATTATGTCCTTCAGGTGAAAATGTTGTATTCAATTGACTTAGAAGGATAATGCAGATAAATTTGACACATCTTATCGAAGTCTAGGAGGCTTTAAAAAGTCTAAGAGTCCACCACAACAAGATAAAGGTAAATAATCCAGTTGAAAATGGGCAGAGGATATTAACAGACACTTCACCAAAGAAGACATTCAGATGGGCAACAAGCACATAAAGAAATGTTCAAAATCCCTAGCTCTAAAAGAGATGCAAATAAAAACAACTATGAGATATCTCATCTCACCCCAGTCAGAACAGCAAAATTTAACAGAACAGCAATCAACAAATGCTGGCGAGGTTGTGGAGAAACTGGAACCCTTATTCACTGTTGGTGGGAGTGTAAAACAGTGCAACCACTGTGGAAGGTGGTATGGCAC